AATTCATTCAGATGTTTGTAAGGGTCATCATGAGCTAGTCTATGGAATGATGGAAACATTTGGATGGTGCCAGACTTAATCTCATAATGAGCAGCAGTGGTATCGGGTAACTAGATGCATGATGGTGATGTATATGCAGTGGGTGTGATGTAATCCTTAAGGGTCCAGTTGGGCCCATTTAGGCCATTCGGGTTTTCCATCTCTATTGGTTCGAAGTATGGATAAGGGTATTCAAGCCTAGGCACGGGAAGAAGCTCTAAGTTTCCTAAGAGTCCTTTCTAGTTCAAGGTCCAAATTTCACAATTCAGGGCGACAAGAACGGCGCCTGTGCATACACTACTCACACACACACACACATTAAGTTCCAACTCTGTGCACTAAGTTATTAAAGCAAAATACCAAACAAGAGAATACTCACAGCGATTTAACGAAAACCCTTTACTCATTTTGCGAGTGTTTGACGTGTACATGTTATCCCAAATTTCCACTTAAGCTCTCTAGTTGTAGCACTTTGGTGCTTTGCTTGCAACTATTTGCTTTTGTATTATTTTTTTTTTAAAGCACTTTGGTGTTACGGTTTGTTTTTAAAGCTCAGTTGTGCTCCGCTCGCACTTCTGTGATGACTCCAATTGCAAACACTTTGCACACTTAGCAACACTAAAATATGAAATCCTAAACTAAAAATTAAAATAAGAATGTAAACTATACCAAATTTGATGGATCGTTTCACACACCAAAATTAAACACTAAACCATACCAAATTCCTTAGAATAATGGTAAGTCCAGGTACCGATCTATAGGGACAAAGGGAAAATTAAACTAATTTAATTGTTAAATTCCTAAATTAATTTTGATGAAAAGATTGATTGGTCATAATCTAATAATAATTAAATTAAACAAAACGAATAAACTAGCAATTATAAATAAAGATGAATTTACTGATTTGGGAAAAATCAAGGGCAATGAGTTCACCACTAGTTACGTAAATAAAGTTTCAATTTGAAATCAATTATGCTACGGTTTGAACTAAATAATACTTCACAACTACAAGATCGAGACATTTATTAAGAGAGTTATCATGTTCAATGTATAGGTCCACGAACCATCTCAAGTAGTACGAGTTGTTCGCTCTAAACTAGGGTAGCAAAACGACTCGTCTCTCGTAGTATGGCTTGTCTCATACCTTGAATATGAAAGAAAAGAAAACCATTGTATGAAAAGCATTCAACAATCATAGAAAGCTGAATACTTGAAAAAATAGTGGAATATATATATATATATATATATATATATGAAACTTTTAAAACACCATACAATTGTTCAAACTTTTACACAATCAAAAACCAAAAAGAAAACCTAATTACATAGCTAGGGTTTCATCAAAACCCTAGAAAAGATGAACCTAGCCACTCATAGAGGAATGGGAGGAGGTGAAAGAGATGGAACCCTCCATGGGAATTTGTTTTGAAGATTGAGAATCACATTTTTCCAAACCCTAGCCTCCTATTTCTCCTTCAAAATTTCGAACCGTAATCTAGACTCTCTCTCTACTATTTATACCTCAGTTGTCTTTCAAACAGGTTTAAAATAGCAATACGATTTTATACTCCCACTATGTATAATGCACATGAGGGAAGCACTTTTCTCCAAAAGTCTTGCATTTTTGTTCATTTTATGCTCTCACTATGTACAACCTGATTGACATTAAATAGACATAAAATATATCGTTTGACAAGCAAGTAAAGTTAAGAGATCCTAATTAACGGCCTCAGTGTTGCACAATTCGGCCTTAATCAGTGAGACTAGAGAATGAGTTAACACTAAGTTGTAGATTTGGAGAAATGCGCTTGAATCTAAAGGATTTAGGATAAGTAGAACTAAGACAAAGTATATGGAGTGTGATTTTAGTAATAGTCACAATGCAAGTAGAGAGAAGTGAAGATTGAGAGCCAACAACTACCTAAGAACAAACATTTTCATTATTTAGGATTGATTATCACAATGACTAGGGAGATTGGAGTGAATGTGGGCTACAAAATTAAAGCAAGGTGGCTTAAGTGGAGGAGTGCATCTGGAGTACTGTGCGATAAATGAGTACCCATTAGACTAAAAGGAAAGTTCTATAAAACGGCTATTAGACCAGCGATGTTGTATGGAACGGAATGTTGGGCAACTAAGAAACAGCATGTAAAGAATATGAGTGTTGTTGAGATAAGGACACTAAGGTTGATGTGAGAGAAGACTAGAAAAGACAGAGTTATTAATGAGTATATTCGAGAATGGGTAGAAGTAATATCGATTGAAGATAAGTTGAGAAACGATATATTGAGATTGTTTGGTCATATACAACAGAGACCAGCAGAGGTAGTAGTGAAGAGATGCAATACAGTGACAGTAGATGGTCGTGTTAGGGGTCTTGATAGACCTAAATTGATGTAGACTACTGTAGTGAATAAAGATATGAATCTCCTTAATTTTACTAACGAAATGGCCTTTGATAGAGTTGAGTGGAGAAGAAGAATTCATACAACCGACCCCATTTGATGAGACTTAAGGCTTGGTTTGGTTTGGTTTGGTTTGGTTTAAATATTTGATTTAATCTATTCAGTCACATACTCTCCGGCTAAGTTTCTTAGATATCGATAGGGAGATATGTTTGGTTGTAAGGTCAAAAGTCGACACATATAATTTAGCGCCATCTATGGAAATTTTGTAAGAATAGATGGCTAACATCGGATAAGAAGATCGAGTCAAAGATGATGTAATCAATGAAGAGGTGACACATCATGATATTGGTATGATGGTTGAGTTTATTTTGAGATGACATATTTCGAATCTTGATGTTCTTGAACTAGCGAGCCACGATCTCAGCTAGTAGTGCAATCTTAGTTAAGATGTTGGACTTGGATAAGAAATAACATTTTAGTTCTTGGTTTTTGACTAGTGGACACATGAGTCCTTGTCTCCTGATGTTGACGAGTCATGATCTTAGTCAGAGGGGTGTCCTCCATCATATTGGTTGGTCGGCTTGTTGATAGGTTAGATAATATAGGTTCCATCACCTCAGATTGCCGAGGTAATAGAGTCTAGGGGGCAGTTGTGGGGACATTTTTAGGGTTGTCCACATGATGAGGTGTCACATGGATGAACCAGGTCACTGAGATATGGTGTGACCATATAGGAATCTAAAATATTCAAATAGAGGACAAGAGTCCTAGATGATGTTAAACTATTTATTTGGGTTAGGTTAGACTCTTAAGAGAGTTGATCATAATTTAAATAAGAGGAGTCATGGATAAGTGATATCATTGTAAAGGATAAAGTCCCATGAAGTAAAACTTCTAAGGGATATTGGATATTGATCATTATAAAAGTAAGACACCCTCATGGGTCTAAAATATGTTTTTACCTGTGCACTATTCATTTGATTCGATATCTTTGAAAGATAAATTACTGACTTGATCGTCAAAGTATCCCTGGGTAGACGACCACAACAGTATTTCTCACTTTCTTTGTATGCAGGTGATCGACTTAATCTATTCTTCCATGTGCTCTCCAGCTGAGTTCCCTAAATCTCGATAAGGAGATCTATTTGGTTGTGAGGTCAAAAAATTAACAACCACACAATTGTAGTGTTTGTAGTAGAGATGAAATGAACAAAAAGAGAGAAAATGATAAGGGCTAAAATTGAATTGGGGATTAGGTTGAAGATATCATTGTGGTGAAAAATTGCCATACTATCATGTTGGTAGTGGATTTGGTTGAGGAACTGCTATTGGAGTATAGGAATAGGAAGAAATTTGAGAGAGAGAGAGAGAGAGAGAGAGAGAGAGAAAACTAAGAGAGCTGGTTTTCATCTTGTTTTGAAACTCCCCCCCCCCCCCCTCGATGTCCTCTATGACTACACTACCTCCACATCCACCAATATTTCTCTCCATCTCTCCAATTTCTATGAGATGATTGTATTTTTCCGTAAGTAGTAGAGGAGGTCTGCCATTTATGGCCACAACAAGTGTTTTCCATTGTGGCCTTTCACATTGTGTTCGAGGAGTTTGTGATTGTGGTAAAGGTGGGAGATAGAGAAAAACAAGAATCTGCAAAAAGAAAGGGAAAAGAGTTCCTGTGGTTTAACTGGTTTAAACAAATTGTTCAACCTATTTATTTTGCAAATTTGGTAAAAATATTTTATATACAAAGAAATATAGGAATTTAATTTCATAAAAACTTGTAATTGTTAGGCAAATCTAAAATTCAAGGGGCCCAAGCACTTTTGTTAAACTTATAGATTTAGTTATAATTAATCCAATAATTAGGGCAAAGTAATTTAACGAATTTATAAGGATGCATTTCTTCATTTAAAAAATGGAGGTATAAATAACAACATTATTATGCTTCAATCACTATATCTAACCAACAATAACACATGTATAAACAATATATCATATATGTGATCACACAAATAAACAAGTTTTTCTTCCATTTAGACCATACAAATTTATTTTTTATTCACAGTCTGAAATTAAATCTTCCCTATAAAAAGATACAGAATTCTTTGTGGCTATGAAAATCACAATGACAATAATGTTTGAGCAGAAAAAAAGGTTCTTGCTATCTTTCACTTCAGATTACTATCTTACATGTATGAATTATTGTTTTCAATATGCATACAGTTCACAACAATTACAGCTATAAATAAATTTTCTTTCATTTTTCTGTGCTAAGGAAAATTGAAATCTCTCTTTTTCAGTTACTCGTGTATCATCGTCCTCGCAGTCATCACGTCAAGCTATGTACTTGTCAAATCATCTCCCAATTTGAATGATTTTCTGATAAGTCGAACACTACCTTTTGTCCATCCCAATACATGTACTTGTGAACTTTTCTTTTTTTTTATTTTGTTTTCTATATTTATACATGCAATGCATGGGTTTGAGGGAGATTGATTTATAAGAGGCCGTGAAAATAAAAATATATATGCCCACTTGCACTGCATGCGCTTGTCAAGATGAGACCGATTGAGTTAATGGCATTTCACATTCCTTGGAGGAGGTAACCGATGCTTCATCTGCACCGTCATTGTGTCCATCATCCATGACAACTTCCACTTGCCCTTTGCCGCTGGATAATGTACGGTTCATCTTGTTTGTGGAAGCGGACTCAAGTTTTGATTGACTGCTTTCGCGTCTCGAGATACTGCCACCACCACCACCTCTGCCTCCCCCTCCCCCGCTTCTTCGAAAGCAAACTTTGATTAAGGTGTAGATGTACGTGAGGAACCAGAAAATCCATGGGAAGCTTATCAAAACCAATGCCACGATGGGAAACCAATGTTGGGAACCTTGAACATCAAGAAGCCACATAAAGAGGAGTATTCCACCAGTTAAACAAGTAACGAAGAACAACCCAGAGATGAGAGGGACTCTTAGATCTCTTTGTCTTTCCTTCTCCATTGTTGTTTGTTGTTACATGCAACACAACATCCCTTCCCACCTCCCCCCCACCACCCCTTCCCTTCCCTTCCCTTCCCTACTATTCCCTTCTTTCTCTCTTTTTTCTCTTTCTCCTTCTCTTTCTCTTCCTTGGAGGTATGGTTGAAGGGATTCAACAATCTCTCTCTCTCTCTCTTCTTGTCTCTTTAGGTTTCAATTGCAGGAAGCCAACCATGCATGTGGTGGACGAACTCCAAAAAGAAACAAGAAAAGAGCGCTGAAAGCGGGGGGTTGTTTTTACACACCAATGGCTTGGCTATGATTTTGCTTGTTTGTATGTTGCTTTTGATCCATGGCTTTATGGGTCTTTTTACAAGAGATTTTATTTTCAAGATTTATTCCATTTACTATAAATTTTAGTATGTAGATTACGGGAAAGTTAGGGATGATGAAAATGATCATGAAAGATTTATGATTTTTATATTATCTTAATTAGTGTGTGGTATTTTATTCTAGAGAAAAACTAGGAATCATGAAAAAACTTTCATGAAAATGATCATGAAAAATTTATGATCCTTGGATTACCTTGATTAGTGTGTGGTGCTTTATTTTAAGTGTAATCCAATGGACATAAATCTTTCATGATCATTTTCATGAAAGTTTTTTCATGATACCTAGCCTTGCTCTTTATTCTAAGTGTAATCCAGGGATCACAAAGCTTTCATGATTATTTTCATAAAAGGTTTTTCATGATACCTAGCATTGCTGATAGATTATTTACAACAAAAAAATTAGCATGAAATTTTAAATAAAACCCCAAAGTTTGACAGTTGCAATGAAATAAATCTTGAGTTTTCAAAATTTTCAATTTAAATTTAAATTTTTTGATTTATTTTCAATCTAAACAATCCGTTTATTTCAATTAAATAAAACTAATGAAAAAATGATATTTTAATCATTAAACTCAATGTAGGTATACATAAAATGTTTAAAATATATTTTCTTGTTGAGTTAACTAAAATACAAATTTTTTTCATCAATTTTACTTAATAAAAGTAGACAGATGTTTCAAATTGAAAACAAATCAAAAGATTAGGGTTAAATTAATAAAAATAAAAATTCAGTATTTATTTTCTTACAACGTAAAATCTTATGAATTATTCACTTTGTTTGGTTTTGATTGATTTTTTGAAAATTGAGTTTTTATTTTTTGTATTTTTTTGAGTTTAGTAAATTTTTTTAATATTTTAAGTAACTATTTTATTTTCTAGATGCACATACAAAGTAAAATATTTGTGAAAAATATTTTAAGAATTCAATAAATACAAAATAATATAAAAATGTACTAAATTTTTTGTATTTTTTGTATTTGATGAATTTTTTTAAAAATATTTACCATAAATATTATATTTTTAGGTGTATCTAGGTTAGGTGCCCCTAAAAAATTATAAAAAATCCTTAAAATATTAAAATTTTTTACTAAAAATAAATATATAAAAAAAACACAAAAAACACAGAAAACACATATCCTTATTTTTAAGTATTTCTCAATTTTTTAATGCCGTAGAATTATCAAGTTCTAAACTCGGTTTCTTATATGATTTTCATTGGTAACTTCTCTACTTTTTTCTAATAAAATTTTCCTTCTAGTGGTCGATGGAACTTCTAGTTTGATTATTGATTACTGAACTGGCAATTCTAATTGAGTACAACCTTTAATGTATTGATATACATTTTTTAATGCATTGATATACATTTTTTTTCATGGCAAAAATGCTAATGTAGGGTCTCTTTGTTTTGGGTACTTCCATTTAATGCATTGATATTCAATTTTTATTTGTAAACTCATCAGAAAATTGTTGTCAAATGATCAAAAATACATAAAATAAATCTGATGCCTAAATTCAATGGGAAAAAAAAAAACTCAAAAATTAATTTTTTTTTAAAAAAAGTGTAAACAGCAAACCGCCCGCAACTGCCCGCACATCTGAAAACCCTATCTGCACAAACCGCAAACTGCACTGCGGGCGGTTGCTGGTTGACTTTTTCCCAAACAGCATAGATACAGGCGGGTCAAAACCGAACCGCAAACCGCACAAAACCGATCCGCAAGCACCCTATAGCGATCCCGGTTTTTCCTCTCATTGTTTACTGTATTCCGAACTCGTTTCCGTTGGGGATTGTTGTCGTCTGTATTTCATTTCCGTCCTTTAATGCTTTGGATTGGAGTTTAGAAATGTCTTGGGCGTGTTTCGAACAGGTTGCTTGAGCTTTAGTCCCATTTCTTGTTGCCCAGATTTTTGGTGGTCCGCTGCGGATCCCTTCGCGCTCGAGCGGAGTTTGCACACTTTCAGCATCTTGTGCGTCTGCAAAAGTACTACAGGTTTGTTTTTCATGCTCAAGCGGAGTTCCTTACGCTCGAGCGGGTCGTGCTCGAGCGGGTGTTCAATGTCTGTAAAAATACTGGAAGAGTGTAATCTACGCTCGAGCGGGTGTTCCTTTGCGCTCGAGCGAGTGGAGTTTTGCAGTTGTGTCTTGGCGCTCGAGCGGGTCCAGTTTTTGTGTTTGACGCTCGAGCATCCTATTCTCCGCTCGAGTGGATCATATGTATATCAGTTGGCAGCTGGGTCATTTTAGATCACTTTTTCAACTCTCACTTTCTCTCTTACTTTTCAAAACCTATTTTGAAAGCTTTTCTCACTACAATTCACCTTCTCTCTAAGGATTGATCTAGTTTGAGTGATCTTTTACCTTAGTTTCTTTGCAAAAAGTGTAGAGCTTGACTTGGGCTACCTATCAATCGGAAAATCTTGGGATTTGGAGCACTTTCGATTTTCTTCATCTTCTTCCTTAGGCTCCGAATTTGACATAGGGATAACTACTCATCTTTATGATTTTTGACATAAACTTGTTGTCATTTTGATGTAATGTTGGAGTTGAGTAATTGTAGGTGTCAGGGTTTCAAATATGAAAAGAGGGGTTTTGTTCTTTTGACCAATACATGTATATTTGGGTCCTAAAATGAGATTGTGGATGTTTAATGATAATATTTGGACCTTTGGGTCAATATTGGAAAAATGGGGAAAATACCATAATTGGGTATAGTTAGGTTATTTGAGTAATTAATGATTTTTGTTATGTGAATAGGAAATTGAGTTAGGAATAATGAAATTGAGAAGTTATGAGAATGAATGGTGGAGTTGGATTGATTAATCAATCACCCTTGAAAATATTGGTAATTTATTTGTTGATGCATTTATTATCTGTTAAGAAATAATTGCTTTGGGCTATCAGTAGAGGATAGTCTTGATTGTTGTAGACACTGCATGATAATTAGGTGAATTAAAACTAATCGGTTAATTATGTCATTGAATATGACGGTTGGAATAATACATCAAATCTGTGTATTGATTGATCGTGTATATGATAATTGTTTATATACATTGTATTGTGTAGGAGGAGATAGGAGATGTACTCCACGGTTTGAGAGGAGATAAGGGATGGACTCCTAAACCGGATGTTATTTGGGAGGAGATAGGGAATAAACTCCATTGATACAGCAAACCTGTATATCATTTGTGAAGTATGGAAGTGTTTAATATGAGTTGTTATCTCATGTGAATTGTGAATTATGGAACTGTTTTACTATGAGTTATAGTCTCATTTAGATTATTGATATTGGAAAGGTTTTTAACATGAGCCGTAGCCTCATGGGAATTGATTGGCCAGGTTCTGAGCCATGTTCATAAATTGAAAATTTGTTAAGTAAAGAAAAGTGGAATGAAACATGGACATATTTGTCATGGAACTAGATAATGTTGTAACTTGATTTATAAGTGGTAACAGTTATTAATGCTAATGTTTTAGTTATTGCTCATACTATGTTTAGCATATCTCTACTGGGCGTTAGCTCACCCTATATGGGATATCATTTTTAGGTGCAGGTGATATGCCGCCTCCAAGGATGTAGCTTGGGAGGCTGTATAAGCTGAAGGCTTATTTTTGTGATTATTTTGTGTATTACATGTATATCAAGCCAAGGACTTATTTTGTGTAAAGAGTTAGAACTCTATTTTGTTGAACCCAAGTGTCGACTTAGAAAGTTGTAAGCCTATAGGGCATTTACTTTTGTTGTCAACATGCAATATCTCTTGTAAGAATACTCTGATGTTGGGAATATAATATCTCTTTTTGGTATCATGAATGTATGATTATGGGTTTATTTTGAGGGCGTGACACACCCCTAGACTCATCCTTGGAGCTTTAATTTTCTTCTTTTTTTTTTGTTTTTCTAATCAACAAAAATAAAGTATATTGCACCATAAAAGGACAGTATAGAAAAACTCCCAATTACACCCCATCTCAACCACACTTCCTCATTTAATCAACAATGGAAGAAACAAAGTAAAAAGATTTTGTTTTGTTTTTGTCTTTTTTTTGTTTTTGTTTTTGTTTTTGTTTTTTGTTTTTTGTTTTTTTTTTTGTTTTTTTTTTTTTATGGTAGAAACAAAGTAAGAAGTTGTAGACTGTGAATTGATTAATCTATCTAATATATTCGAACACTCCTCGTGTAAAGAGGATGAATTAAAAATCTGACAAACACAACATTTCACAAATCAAAAAGAAGCATTAAATGGGTGTGCTAAAATACTCAATTCTGAGAAATTATTAGAACCCCTAGAACTAAGAAGACTCACTCTGAGTACCTTAATGTTGTGTTTAATTAGGAGATTTAAGAAGGAATTTAGAAATAGAAATAAAAAATGTAAGTGAAATGTAAATAAAATATACCTAAATTTCACCTAATTTCACACATCTTTCCCTTTCTCTTTTCAAATCCCTTCCCAAATCTCCCAATCAAACATTGTATAAAAATTCTTTATTTCTCTCTCTTTCTCTTTTTCTTTTATCCCTTTTTTATTTTTATTTTTTATTTTCGGATAAGAACTTCATTCATATGTAAAAGAAAACATACAATTGAGTTTCATAATGCTAATTTCACCAAAATAAAAGAAAAGCAA